TTCATATGTGCTTAAGACACTGAAGCGTAAGAAAAGTCCAGTCGACCACCACGGACCTACTGGACCTAAGTCCAAAACTCACAGGGTATCCGAGAACGCTTAACTTCTCCGCCTGAGAAACATTAACTATATGTTATGCTACTTAATGTTTTCGACCCTTTTCCTTTCTCGCTTTTTGACCCATAATCAGCCTGAGTGAGCAACTTGCTTCTCCTGGGTCTCAAAAGCTGGGTGGGGGCTGTGTAATAGCCGGGCCTCCACATTAGACTCTATGTTATAGACGTACTCTTAAGCAGTACGTAAACTATAAACGTACTCTTAATAGTACAAGGAACTTAAGTTTCCTAAATGGTTTTTAACGGTTTTATAAATTAATACCTTTTCCATTTTACATATCAGATACTTGGACAAGGCCATTAAAAGGCCCCGTAAAATACGAAACATAATATTTGGTCTGGTTCTATTAATAGAACTATATTTACTTTCCAAATCTATTTATATATGAAAACTTCGATAGCGAGATGGCTCAACCGAATATAGGTTTCTAGGGACTATTAGCGTTACCTAGTTTAACCTCCGTTCAGCCAACCAGATGTGCCAGTCTGATGAAGGCTAAGTCGGTAATTCTTGATAAGTGGCAAGTTATTGGTTAATGCACTAACTATGGACATCAAGAGTATTTTTTTTTTCTTCTTTTCTTTTTTTCTAAAGATAGGATTTTATGAGTCTCTCGGATTCGCCCAACGAAACAGACCATAGTTTCTAATAGAGCGGCAACGAAACACTAAATAAAATCCCTTCGGCGAAAACAGTCCTGAGATGATTATATATAGGCAATGTCTCAGCCTCACAATCGCTCAGAGTATTGCTGTTTTCACGAGGCATACCTAACTTTACCAAAAGACTCATTTCGTTTACTTACTTCAAATTTCACGATACTTAGACTTAACCTACGCGTTTAATTACTCTAAGGCGTTAATATCGCCTTGATAGACCGAATCTTACACCAGTTACATGACAAATGGGCTAACAACATGAACCAAATTAGCCCCGTGAAACGTAAAATTGGACGTACGAAGCCTGTACCTCAGGTGGCTCCTTACGGTAATGTCCATGTCACTCACAGAGAGCGGTTGTTGCCGAGCGCTCAAAATCGGGCACAAAAGATTCCGACCCCTGAGGAGATGCCGGCTAATGGTCCGAATTGGTATCAGGCATCGAACGATAATGTCCATGCTCCTCACAGAGCGCGATTATCAACAAGCGCGCAAAATCGGGCATAAACAATTCCGACCCCTGATGAGATGCCGCCTAGTGGTCCGAATTGGTATCAGGATTCGAAAACCTTGGTGAAATTGCCTGGTAGATTTTTTTTTTGGAACCTGCGGATTTACATTTGGACATGGACACTCCTCGGAATTTATCGTCGTCGGCAAAGCGTTCCTTTGATGCCTTTCGTAGAGTAATGAAGTCCCGGCAGCAACAGATGAACCAGAGTCATGTGGCAACGAACTTGTTTCGTGATAAGTTCCAACGTCACCGTAAACCACGTTCACCAGATGAGTTGCAGGAGAATTCTCAGGATGCGGCGAATGTCCCTATTGATACGATTGCATACCGCAAGCACCTTCATGTTCATCACGACCGCTACTTGGAAGACACACGGGCAGTGAAACATCATAAAGGCTCGGAACCTACGGAGCCTAGCATTACTGCATCGACAGCGGCCCAGATGAAACTGCAAGTTTTTCAACTGACCCAACGAATGATGCAGGCAGAAGCGGACGGACGCATAGACGATGCGCGTGCGCTATAGGGTCTAATTCGTGCGTCGGATGAGACTCTGAAGATGTGTTCAATAACGGTCGACAAACGAACACCGAAGGAATGGCCACCCAACCCACAACAGGGTAACTGTTATTTGGACAATCCGCAGAAGATACAGTTACACGCTTTTATCATGGACTGGTATAAGAATGCACGATTCCACAAGCTAGAACCGATTCATATGCAAATGGGTTTACACCGAGCTCTACAGCATGGAAGGGCTCCTAAGGCGCTATTGAATTTTATTGTGAAAAACGAGCAAAAATTACAGTCTGTGACATTTGAGGCTGCCACTGCTTCTATTGTACGTGCACAAGAGCAAGACCTGAAGGATAATGCATACCGCCAGATGTTAGCATGCATGAAGCTGAAGCCATCGGTACCGCTTGATACTCAGATTCGTGATTTTGAACGCCAGGTGGAGTTCATGGAAATGGGTCAGTATGAGAAACCCCTACAAGTACACCGTAACCATGATATACTTAATCTTATACGCCAAGTTGCAGGTGGGGCGTACTACCGGGATACTCTTCGAATGCATCCACAGTGGCGAAACTACTCGTCTGAAAAGATACGCGATGTGTTCCGTGTGAACATTGACAAAGCAGAAGAAAATCGCCAAGACAAGTTTTCGCGACCTCTACGAATTCCGGGGAACTCGCGATCACGCTCAAATTTGCGTACGGAAGCGAATACACGCGCCAACCCACATGCACCGCCTACATCGAACCCACGGGTTCGTTGTCGGTCATGTGAACGAAACATTCCGCCGGGACCAGGACATGCAAGTCGTTGTCCTAACTTACAACGAGTACCGGTCCAGACTAGCACAGGTAGCCGCACGCAAAATGGTGGGGCTACAGTTCAACGTACATCGGCTACAAGCACATCGACACGCGGGACTCACGGATCGGGTACTAATTTCCGACCCCGTGTTAACTTAGTGGACGGTGATAATATGCCTGATCAAACAACCACCGAGACGGGGGAGACTGAAGTAATGCAAATTCATGATTTGGTCGATGAGTCGTATGTACAGAGTGACGATGAGTTGATGGACGAAGAGCAGACACCCGATGGTTGGGAAGTTGGAACAGATTCGGACTGACAGGCTGGGGTGCCTGATGTGAACATGTGCATGTCATTTGGTCGTACGGCAACAAGAATATTTGCAGTAAAAGATAAATTGTTTCCTACTGACAACCGTGTATATGTTACGTTGTAAGTGAACGGACGTGACATGCGCACCCTTATTGACACGGGGGCCAATCGTTCTGTCATCACTCAGGCATCCGCAGCTAAGGTACACCTCTCTATTACACCACCGGCCAAGGATAGATACATATACTTGGCGGACAAAGCCTTCGGCAAAACACAAGCAACAAATGTCCAGTACTGGTCAGCTGCTACTGAGGGTTGTACATTTGAACTTATGAACCTACAGGATAACATTGATATAATATTGGGTATGGATATTATGGGTGAGTTGGGATTAGGCTTAACCGGATTAGTATCTTCATTTCCAGAGATTAATCGTAATGTTATGGATGAGCTACTGGAACCAATCAATCTTAGAATGGCCCCAGATTTGTCCGAGCCAGGTGATATACGCGCACGCCTACGCCAATATCTGGATGCTAATGACATTATTCTGGATGCGGCTCGCTGCACACTCCCGGGTAGTGAGGTGTTACTCCCTCTTCCTCGGGATAAACTCCTGGGCCTACGTCGGCAGACAAGAAATTTTGTATCTGACAAATACAAACCACATGTAACGAAGCAAGTAGACAAATGGGAACACGAACTGGTCACCAATCGTCGAACATCGGCGTCGATCGTTAACCTTCCTTTGTTGGCAGTACCATCATTCACACCGTCGGGTGAACTTATTAAGGTGCGCGTGTGCTTGGATCTGCGGCAAATTAACGCTCCTATTCTGGGCAATCAGTTTACGCTTCCGAAGATCAACGAAATCATCAGCAACTTGAAAGGCAAGCGTTACTATACCACGTTGGACTTATCGGCCGCGTACCATCGGTTACCGGTGCACGTCGATTCGCAGCACATGTTTTCGTTTACATGGAATAGTCAGCAGTACACGTTTACGTCGGCTCCCTTTGGATTGACGACACTCACGTCACAATTTCAACGTACAATCAGTAATTTGATGGCAGGACTGGACGTGCAATGCTATGTTGATTATCTAATAATTGCATCGGACGATTACGAGGAGCACATTGCTACGGTTCAAGAGGTCATTCGACGCTTGACGGAGAATAACCTTCAAACTTAATCAGAAGAAATGTCACTTTGTGGTGCGAGAGGTGATGGTCTTGGGAAAGAAGATATCAGCTAAAGGCATTGACGTGGATCATGAGAAGCAGAAACGTTTAATTGACTGGCCAGTTCCAAGATGTCAAAGGGATATTGCTTCTGCGTTAGGATTAGCAAACTTTCTACATGAGCATCTACCGAACTGTGCACACAAGGTAGCTCCACCCCGAACATTCCTAAACTTAAGCCAAAGGAGCCCATTGGGGATCGTTGGAAGCCAGAACATCAATTGGCGTGGGATCAGATGAAGGAGGTTATCGTATCGGCAATCATGTTGAACTTTCTTGTTGATGGTGTACCACTTGAGTTAGAGACGGATGCAAGCGATTATGGAATTGGGGGCGCATTGTTTCAATTGATTGACGGACGCAAACATTACCTGATGTTCTTCTCGAAAACTTTCAACAAGGCACAGCAGACATATGCAACACCGATGAAAGAATTATTAGCACTTACCTATGCTTTGGTTCACTTTCACGATCATCTCATTGGACAACGGTTTACTGTACATACCGACCATAAGGCTCTCATATACATGAACACTCAGCTAAAGGTGAATAGTATGTTGCAGCGATGGCATCATATTATTGCACAGTTCAATTTTACTATTACACATGTACCTGGAGAACTGAACAAGTTGCCAGAAGCCAGAACATCAATTGGCGTGGGATCAGATGAAGGAGGTTATCGTATCGGCAGTCATGTTGAACTTTCTTGTTGATGGTGTACCACTTGAGTTAGAGACGGATGCAAGCGATTATGGATTTTGGGGCGCATTGTTTCAATTGATTGACGGACGCAAACATTCCCTGATGTTCTTCTCGAAAACTTTCAACAAGGCACAGCAGACATATGCAACACCGATGAAAGAATTATTAGCACTTACCTATGCTTTGGTTCACTTTCACGATCATCTCATTGGACAACGGTTTACTGTACACACCGACCATAAGGCTCTCATATACATGAACACTCAGCTAAAGGTGAATAGTATGTTGCAGCGATGGCATCATATTATTGCACAGTTCAATTTTACTATTACACATGTACCTAGAGGACTGAACAAGTTGCCAGACATGTGGAGTCGTGTTCATGAGGGCACCGCGGATATCAACTACCCCGGGGTGTTTTATACGTCATGTTGGAAGTTGTTTCCGGATTTCTTTAACCAGATCCAGAAGCACTTTGGACCAAACGACGTCGACGCTTTTGCCATGCTCAGCTTCGCCAATACTGGTCGTACGACAAGGATGGCGGGGCGTTTAAGTTTGACTGTAGTAAATACAACGCATGGATGAACCCACCGTGGCGTCTTATACATAGGTGTTGCGTAAGGTGTTGAAGGACAGGGCGTCGGCAACAATAGGTTTACCGTTGAACACACGTGCGCCATGGTTTCCTTTGCTTCTATCGATGATGCAAGCAGGCTCGCTACTTATCCCACGTACGGCTCACACATTCTTGAAGCACGGCTCCCAGGCTTGTGGTAAATATCCGTGGGAGCATACCATCGTGGTACGTATTGGCCCTCCATCTGGGTACAAAGTCAATCCATCATTTTGGTGTGACTTAGGATTGGAGGTACCTGTATATGAATACGCTAGTATACGTTATCAGGGAGATTGGGCACAACCTGTGATGACGAAACGAACGCGACAGATCGCTGCACAAACTCCTGAGATATGTGCGGGTGCTACAGTGATAGAATTATCCAGGGCACGAGAAGCGAACCGTCGTGTACAGTTGACATGGCAATTTCATGAACAAGGACATTCGGCCCCAGCAGTTACAGTACAACAAATGCGCGACGATGGACATAACTGGGACCAGATGCTTCCAATCACAGAAGAGGTCCGCAAGTTATGTCGCACATGCTTGGGCAATGATACGATGAAGAAAGGTTTTCATCCTCTAATAAATATTACCGCTCGGTATCCTTGAGATCACATAAAAATGGATCTCATTCCTATGGCGGTCACATCCACTAAAGGAAACAAATTCATTTTACATGTGCTTGATGTGGCGTCGGGCTACTCTATTCTACGGGCGATATCTGCGAAGGATGCAAAGACAGTGGCGGCAGAGTTAGTGTCAGTGTTTGGTGCGCATGGATTTCCTCGTA